TAAAGAAACCACTGCCTAAGTCCCAGGCTAATTCCTGAGATATACATGCGTAAGAGAGCCCCAAAGCAACATACCAAAGGTTTTGAAACTGAACCGATATTGGAACACTTCCCAGAGAAAGTAAGGCAAAATTAGTTCAATCTAATCAGGATGATTGCCTTCTTAAAAAAAAAATCTCCAGAGGATTTTAATAGGACCCAGAGGCTCATGACATAATATTCGAATTAAAATATCCAAGATACAATTCAAAATTACTTGGTAAACAAAGAGGCAAAAAAACAAGACCACTTCTTAAGGGAAAAGACAACAGATGCCAACACTAAAATAACCAAGATATTGAAATTATCAAAGATTTTGAAGAGCTATGCTCCATGAGGTGGTGATAAATATTCTTGAAACCAACAGTAGGACAGATGTTCTCTACAAAGAAAGAAAAATTACACCAAGCAGAAATTCTCAAAATAAAAAATCTGAAATTAAAAAGATCCACTGGATAGATTCAGTAGAAGTTCTTCAAGTTAAAGATAAATGATACCACAGGAAAAAGAAAGAGCAATAGGTGGGAGTTATCTAGGTAATAATAGACTACTTTTCCCACATTCTTTAATATGTTTATAACAATTGAAAGCAAAAATTATAATGCTTGTTGGGGTTTTCAATGTTAGGTAGATGTAATATATATGACAACTATAACATGGAGGGGAGAGTAAAGGGACCTAAATGGTTGCGAGTCACTATTGGCTACAAACAAGTTACAGTTGCAGCCCACCCTCAAGATACAGGGTTTACACAGTGTGTGAATACCAGGAAATGGGAATCATGGTAACCAATAGAATATGGCAAAGGTGATGGGATGTCAATACCATAGTTACGTTACATTGCATAAGACTCCACCTTGCTAGTAGATTTGCTCAATAGTCCCTCCTTCCTTCTCCCTACCTCCACCTCTATTGGTATCTTTGAAGAAGCTGGCTGCTATGAATCCTAGAGCTGCAAGAAGTCAATTCTCCAAACAACCTGATTTGAAAGTGGATCCTTCCAGGTCAAGTCTCAGATGAAAACCCAGTCCTAGCCAACACCTTGATCGCAACTTTGCAAAAGCCCCAGCTAAACCAGGTCCAGACTCCTAACCCACAGACACAGGAAAGGATGGAGTGAGGGGAGAGAGAATATGAATATACACAAATATTTATCACTGGAGCTGCAGAACCACTAAGAAGGTTTTTTAAAGAGGTTTCAGAAATGAACATGGATTTGGATTTAAGCTTCACTTACTAGCTTCGTGTGTGACTTCTTTAAATGTATGTGAAAACTAAAGTGTTGCTTTTCTTGATTATAAAATGGAGATAGTATATCTTCCTCATAAGATTCTTGGGAGCAATAAGATGAGATGATTCATGTAATCCTGACTCTTCACATAGAGCCTGGAATGTAGTACATGTACAGTTAATTGTGATGGTCCTTTTGTGCTTCTGAGAGTGACAGTTTTCCTCTGGGAAACAGAGAATATTGCTTCCTCCTTCCCCAATGCTATGCTTAGGCATTCAGCCATCCATTTATTCCACCAACATCCATCAGTTTCCACTCTGTACCAGGCCCTGGGTCAGAAGACTATTTATTGAAGACTCAGAAAAAATGAACCAATTCCTTGAAAGACACTACCAAAATACTCTCAAGAAAAAATAGATAACTCATTTTTTGATGCCAGCATTGCATTAATACCAAAACTAGACAAAATTGCTTTGAAAAACAGATAATATATATGATCAGGTGGGTATATGCAAGGCTGGTCCAAAAATGGAAAATCTATCAATTCACCATATTAATCAAATAAAAGGAAAAATCATGATCATCTCAATAGGTACAGAAAAATCATTTCACAAAATTCAACATCCTTTCACGATTCAAAAACAAAAAAACTACTTCAGCAAACCAGGAATTGAAGGCAACTTCCTCAGTTTGATAAAGGGCATTTTAAAAATAATAATAATAAAAAACTATGACAACATCATACTTATTAGTGAAAGGTGGAATGTTTTTCCTTTAAAACTGGGAGCAAGACAAGGATGTCCACTCTTACCATTTCAATTCATCATTGTTCTAGACAGTCCAGCCAGTAAGTACAATAATACAAGAAAAATAAATAAAAGGTATCCAGATTGGACAACATGAACTGAAATTGTCTCTGGTCACAGATAACATGATTTCTATATATAAAATTCCAAGGAATCAACCAAAAAAAAGGCTTTTAGAAATGAATAAGTGATATTAGCAAAATCTTGGAATACAATATCAATATATAAAAATTCTATTTCTATATAATCCCAACGAACAATTGGAGTTCAGAATTTTTCAAACAGTACCATTTAGAGTAGCACCAAAAAATTAAATACTTAGCTATTAATCTAACGAAATATGTGCAGGCTCTGTATGCTGAAAAATACAAAAGCATTGTAAAAGAAAGACAAATAAATAGAGGGATATACTTCTTTCTCCATTGGAAGACTCAGTATTCTCAAGATGTCACTTCTCCTTGAATTGATTTATAGATTCAACAAAATCCAAATCAAAACCCAGGAGAATTTTTCTGTAGATAACAATAAGCTGATTGTAAAACTTATACTAAAAGGCAAAGAGACTAGATTGGTCCAAACAATTTTAAAAAGAATAAAGTTGGACTTATACCTCTTGATTTCAAGAATTACTGTAAAGCTACAGTAATCAAGATAGTGTGCTGTTGGCAAAAGGGTAGGAACATAATCATTGGAAACTGATTCAGAAAAAATATGTTGAATTGATTTTTTATGAAAGTGTAGAGGTTATTTAATGAAAAAAGGATGATCTTTATAAACCAATGGTCCTAGAACAATTACATATCTAAATGCAAATGAACCTTGACTCATCCCTCACACCTGAAACAAAAATTCCAAATGGATCATAGACCTAAATTAAAACATAAAACTAGGAATTCCCTGGCGATCCAGTGGTTAGGACACAGCACTTTCACTGCCAGGGCCTGGGTTCGATCCCTGGTCGGGGAACTAAGATCCCGCAAGCTGCATGGTGTGGCCAAAAATAAATAAAACTGTAACACTTCTAAAAGAAAACATAAGAAAAAAGTCTTCATGATCTTGGGTTAGGCAAAGAATTCTCAGATACAACACCAAAAGTTCAATCCGTAGAAGCAAAAATTGATAAATTGTACTTCATCAAAATTTAAGACTCTGCTTTGCAAAAGATGCTGTTAAAAGAATGAAAAAAAATTTGTTAGTCACATATCTGACAAAGGACTTGTATTCAGAATATGAACAGAACTGTCAAAATTCCACCATAAGAAAACAACCCAGTAAAATTATGGGCAAGATATTTAGGCGTATATTTTGCCAAATTAGATATATGAATGGCAAATAGCACATGAAAAGATACTCAGCATCCTTAATTGTTAGGGAAATGCATATTAAAACTACAGAGATACCACTACAAACTTAACAGAGTAACTTTTTTTTAAAAACTATTGGAGTATAATTGCTTTACAATGTTGTGTTAGTTTCTGCTGTATAACAAAGTGACTCAGCTATATGTATACATATATACCCATATCCCTTCCCTCTTGCACCTCCCTCCCCCCCATCCCACCCTCTAGGTGGTCACAAAGCACCGAGCTGATCTCCCTGTGCTATGCAGCTGCTTCCCACTAGCTATCTATTTTACATTTGGTAGTGTATATATGTCCATGCCACTCTCTCACTCCATCCCAGCTTACCCTTCCCACTCCCCATGTCCTCAAGTCCATTCTCTATGTCTGCGTCCAGAATAACTTTTTTAAAGATAACATGAAGTGCTGGCAAGGATGCAACCAGAGCTCTCAGACATTGATGGTAGAGATATAAAAAGGTGGGACCACCTGTGAGAAGAGTTTTACAGTTTCTTATAAAAAGTTAGACATATATGACCCAGTAATCTCATTCCTAGATATTTTACCAAAGTGAAATGAAGACTTATTTTCACACAAAAATCTGCATATGAGTATTTATATAGCTTAATAATTTCACAAAACTGGAAACAACCCTAATATATTTAAATTGGTGAATGGATAAACAAACTGGTACCTCCCTACAGAAAAATACTATTCATAAATAAAAAAGAGTGAGCTCTAATACACAACACTTGTGTGAATCTATACATTATAATGAGTGAAAGAAATCAGTCTCAGAAGGTTCCATACTGTGATTCCATTTATATGATATTCTGGAAAAATGCTAAACTATAGGAATGGAAACAGATCAGTGGTTGCCAGGGATTGTGTGTGAGAAGAAGGGTTGACTAAAAAGTAAGAACATTAGGGCTTTTTTTGAGATGTTGCAACTTTCTGTATCTTGATTGTGGTGATAGTTGTCAAAACTCATAGAACTATACACCAAAAAGAATTTTATTTATACAAATTAGGTAATTTTTTAAAAGAAAGGAAGAAAAATAACCCCGCTACATAAGATATATCACACTTGGAATCATTCAGTTCACAGCTTCTTCTATATGAAAAGCTCCAAAAGGGCCATACTTTGTTCTCAACACTAAGAATTCCTAACCCAAGTACATGCAGCTACCCTTCCATCCTTAACTACTCCGAGTTCTCATGTGAGAGAACATGGGCTAACCTCCTCCAGGATTAGAGACCACATGAAGAGAGTGGTTCAGCCAGCCCCAGCTGACCACCAGCACCAGATGTGCGAATGAGCCCAACTTGGACCATGCAGCTCCAGTCAAGCCACCAGCTGGTTATAGTCCTGTGAATGACACCAAGTGAGACTAGCAGAAGAACTGCCCAACTGAATCCAGTCCAAACTGCTGATGTGCAGAGTCGTGAGCAAATAAAACGGTTGTTGATTTAACCACCATGCTTTAGGGGCAGTTTGTTACACAGCATTAGATAACTGACACAATATCATCCGTAGAGGAGGCAAATTATATTGGATCCCTCACCCCTTTTTATTTTTTTTAAATTATTTTAGAGATGTTATAGGAAATCCTTTCATCTCTGGGGGGAAAAAAGAAGAAAAGCACATTAATAGCACATTCCCAGAGATTTCTATTAGGTGGTATTTTCATGTATAAAGCCCAGGCAATGTATTATGCTGACATATCTATAATAACATGTTCATCCTTTGTGGTTATATTTTAAGATAGAGAAGGTCAAAGATGCGAGGGAGAGAGCTGACGGGACCAATAATCTGTAGTTGACAAAGTGAGACTAAGGGGGGACATGGTGGCAGTTTTTAAATATTTGATGGCTTTTTAAAACCATGTGTTGTTTTAAAGCCAAAAGTTGGATTAATATGTATAAGTTAAAGGAAGAATGTTTCAGACTCAATAGTAGAAATAATTATCTAAAATGAGAGCTGACCAATAGTGAACTATGCTGCGTCAAAAATCAGTGAGGTGGCTGTCATTAAGAATTTACGAACTGGTCACATCTTAGAGATGTTTTCTGTATTGAGTGTGCAGGTGATTCCTATACAGAATGGGACACTATACTGGATAATTTTCTAAAGTTCCTTCAGACTCTGAGTTTATTAAAATTATTTGGCATCACAAGAGTCGTACCCATGTTTTAAAACTTGGACCTTTAAAGCTTGCCGTCCTTTTAATTAGTGAGACTTTCCAGATATGCCCTGATGCAGTAACCAAACCAAGTTGTTTTGCCTCATAATCTGTAGATATTTTTTCTCTCCTGCTTACAGCTTGTCAAGTGACCATGTGCACCAGGGATTGTTTCAAAGGATGGAAAGAAACTGTCATATCCAGCCTGCCCTGCTTTGCCAAAAACTGGACTACAAACAGGGCCAGCTTTGTGGTCATGTGAACTGTGTACTTGCACTGGGTCTCATGCTTGGTTTAATGGTCTGCTACCACTGTTTTGAAATTCTTAACAACTTATGAACAAGGGGCCCCATAGCCAATCCTAACTACGATCTTCATCTGTAGTTCCTCACTACCCACCCACTACTTGTTATCTTGCACTCTGCCTTCTGCCTTTACAGTGGAATAAGACCGCGCTCTCAAGTCATCTATTGCCTACTGGCCAATCCCCAGAGTGTCCCCTTAATCCTCATCCATTTTCATGTCTCAAGCATCTGACATTGTTGACAGACCATACCTTTAAGTTTCCTGTTTGGTTTCTGTGACTCTGTATGGCTTTCTTCTCATCAAATTTGTTTGATAAAGTTGATAAAGTTGAGTAGAATGATGGAATGAAGTTAATAGTCACAATACATGCCTCAGGATTTTTTTCTCTAGAGTGGGCCTATACTCCATCCACCAGGATTTATTGGTACTTCCCTTATTTTCACAGAGTCAGTGACAAAATGATTTCCAAATGGATAAATTTAAAGGCTGAACTATATAAGCCTACCTGGTTGGTATTAAAAATCATATGTAGGTTTCTTTGTTGTTGTTTTGTTTTCCTTTTCTTAATATAGCAATGAAGTGAAGAACATACCAAGGGTTTCATCAGTTCAATATATAAATGGTCGTAAATTTCCTTGAGTCTCCTTCGCAAAATAATCAATGACGCTGAAAAGATTTGGGAGTGTTACCTGTATACAGAGATTGAGAGAAGGTCAGTGTCACCTGTGTAAAGACAGAGTAAGAGAAAGCTCAAATGAAATTTAATGGAGATTACTGTGTATTTCCTATCCTCCAGAAAATCATGTCAATTCCTCACTTCAATAGCTTACTGAATGGCCAAGGTTTTACCTACCCATGCATTTTCTTTCTCCTTTATAACTGTATCTAATTCCCTATAAAGAAATTACGCCTTTCCTATTGCATACAGTTTGGTGGACAATAATTAGTTACTCTGCTCTTTCCCAGTTACTGTATGAGAATGTGATTCAAGTTAGGCCCAAAAAAGCTCCCTTCCTGAAATTTGAACTTGACTAGAGGATCAAGAAAGCGGATTCCTAGTCAGATGATGCTTAGTGCAAGTAACTGCTTCCTAGTCCCTGAAGGTTTTCTAGCCTTCCAGTCATTCTATGGGCTTCCTATGTTCTTAAATTCTTTTCTTTGCTTGTTAGCCATAATTGCTTTCTTCTGCTTGAAACTAAAGACCCCTTTAAAGCCAGAGAACTTAGCGTTTTAATATCTCATTGTAAAAGGCTAATTTACTTGGCTAGGAGTAACTAAAATGTCTTGCTACCCCCTAAGCCAATATTTTTTGGCAAGTAAAACCAGGTTAAACCTGAATATCCCTGGTAAACTTAAAGAGGAAAAAGAATTCACAAAATGACAACCTGGTTGAAGGGTAGGATTGAGGAGTATGAAAGGTGAAAGAATAATCCAGGCTGTTCACTTTGTGTACACTGGGGACTGTTGGGACTAATGACAGATAAATGAGCCCCAGTTCACCTGTTGCAGAGGCACATTCTTCCTCCCCATCCATTGCTTCCAGTCACTTGGTTATTTGGATTATCCTTCAGCAATCTAATTCTCTGTTTCCTTCATTAGAATTTCTGAAAAAGCCCAGTCAGGCGTGGACATGAGAACTGACAATCTCTGGGAGGCATTTATGGCAAAGATATAAGTGGGGTATATGAAGCAGCAGCTGTCTTGCTCTTGGTAAAGGTCTGCACTCTAAGGGTTATGGCCAGAACATAAGAAATTCAACACTACAGTCCCTTTCTCTGATCAATACAATGGGCCTGGAGAGGCAGAGGAACTAGGAGCTCAATTTCAGAGAAGATACCATAAACATCTTCAAGACCTATCGAATCCATTTAAGTGATAGCACTTTCCTGACCCAGTCTTCCCACCACTGCAGCCTGAGATTACAGATGCTTCCTTTCCCCAGCATCCTGGACCACAGGCCACATTACTTCATTGTCATTGGCTGAAACCAGTGTAAATACCAGTTTTTCCACCTCTATAATAGGTGTTACCTCAGGGTAATGATAAATATTAAATTAGACGGCGTGTGTGTAGTATTTGGCTCTGTGCCTAACATAGTATCGAATGGTTATGAGTACAAGTCAGTTGGGGTAGGAGAGGGGTTGAATACAAGGAAGAAATACTTTCTTCACTACTTGTTACTATTAAGAGGGGAATTTCTGAATTTCTGCATGGTGGGTATTAAAGGACCAGGCATTTAAAGATTTTTTTTCCCATTAGAAATAAAAACATTGGGGGCTTCCCTGGTGGTTAGGAATCTGCCTGCCAATGCAGGGGACACGGGTTTGAGCCCTGGTCCGGGAAGATCCCACATGCCACGGAGCAACTAAACCCGTGCGCCACAACTACTGAGCCTGGGCTCTAGAGCCTGCGAGCCACAGCTACTGAAGCCAGCGCTCCTAGAGCCCATGCTCCGCAACAAGAGAAGCCACCGCAATGAGAAGCCTGTGCACCGCAACGAAGAGTAGCCCCCGCTCTCTGCAACTAGAGAAAGCCCGCGCACAACAACGAAGACCCAACGCAGCCAAAATAAATAAATAAATTTATAAATAAATAAGCACATTGGAATACTTATATACTTCTAATTGGAATATGTAAAATAGATGCTTAACAAAAATATTTTTCTCTCCCTGAGACAATTATATTGATAAAGATCTTCAGAGAAAGAAAGAGGTGGAAAGAATTGATAGCAGATGATCTTCTACTCTGCCTCCCCCACCTGCTCTTGCATCTCATTTCTCACCCTGGATGTCTGCTACCTTCAGGACCCGTTAACATGGCTGTTTTTCGCCAGCACTATGCTCCTAGGCAAGGAGTCTGCTTTCCCAACTTACTTTGAATTCTATAAGGTAGGTTTGGGAGGAAGCAGGAGAAAATTAATCAACAAAAAGGAAATAGTTACTTATAGGTTTTTCCAATTCAATAGTGTAGTTTTTTCCTACACTCATCACTTTGTAGTGCTTGATTCTTGGCAGGCTAAAAAAATTAAAAAGTTCATCTTAATTTAAGTATACTATTGGGTCAAATCAAACTAAAGTGAGTATAAAATATCACCTGTACAGTAAAACTATGTTCCCATTACTCTAGTTTTCTATGTCTCTTTTTGGGGGTTTACACACTAGGGATATAGGAAACCTGGGTCATTGAGTGGATGAATGAGAAAGAATGAGATGAAAAAAGGAATCAAGAACTGAAAATTTTTCAGGCAGAAACTATTTTTTTAAATGCCAGTAATTTATAAAGTAGACAATATTATAAAATCCTATGTAGGCATACATACGTCAGATCTATATTCTCTATATTAAAAGGGAAGTAGAAAGAATTACTGAAAGCAAATTACTTTCTTCATCACTATTCCTATCAGAATGCCCTCAATAGCTGTTCTTCCTGCTAGCCATATACCACCATGGATAATCTGCCAACTTCAGGGCTGACTTAGAAATATGGAAATGGTAGGTGTTAGGTATTATACAAACATGTAGGTGAGAATGTAAGTATAGTAGATGAATCCTAATGTCTTCCTCTTATGTAGTGACATAGCACTAAATTATTACCACCCGAGAGATATGGTATTTTTTTGCTAGAACTGCTTAATAATAAGGAGCACATTCAATTCACTTTTGTACTCCAGCGTTAGGCACACAGTAAATATTTATAAAACTGAATTTTAAAAAATATTTGGGGGACTTCCCTGGTGGTGCAATGGTTAAAGATCCACCTGCCAATGCAGGGTACACAGGTTCAAGCCCTGGTCCAGGAAGATCCCACATGCTGTGGAGCAACTAAGCCCGTGCACCACAACTACTGGGCCTGTGCTCTAGAGCCCGTGAGCCACAACTACTGAAGCCCACGCGCCTAGAGCCCGCGCTCTGCAACAAGAGAAGCCACCACAATGAGAAACCTACACACTGCCACGAAGAGTAGCCCCCACTCGCCACAACTAGAGAAAGCCCATGTGCAGTGACAAAGACCCAACACAGCCAAAATAAATAAATAAATAAATTTATTTATTTATTTTTTTAAAAAAATATTAGGAGCCCATCTAATAGTGCTGTTTGCTAGAACTAATTTATACTGAGAGCAGAAATCAGTTATGTTTGCCTTGATTCATACGGCAGTAGTGTCAGGACCAAGACTTTTTCTAATGTTGAAAAGTTAATAGCATTTATTACGCCTCCATTGCTTGAAAGACAAACTAATAAACATCTGTCCAGTTTACAGAAATTGCCTGAGCAAAATTGTTTATCAGGTTAAGTTTGTCTACAAGGCCTCCCACGTTCTTTTTCATCACTCCTCTCTCCATTTCCAGGTCACATTCTTCTGGGACTGAACTACAATTCTCCTTAAGGGACTCTTTCATCATCTACTGTGATATCCAAATCTTCTCTTAATTGGATGTCACATTGGAAAACAGCTAATAATTTTTTCCAATCACTTTAGAGCTTTATTCTCAAAACATGGGATAAAACCTAACCAACCCTCTTCCCTCCTAAGGAAAACCAAAAATTATTTCCTAGTGCTGAACCTTCAGGAATCAGTCACCGGTTGGTGAAGGAAAACTTCGGATGGAGGAAATCCTACAAGTACCCTCTTTTGGGGTGGCTGGCTCTGGCCTTGTCTTTGTCCCTACATGAAAAGACCTTTATAATCATACTCTTGAAAACTCTAACCAATTCCCATTAGAATTCTTTTATTCCTATGACATGAGTGATTATTATTCCTTGGAAGACTGATAGAAAGCTTGAAAGGCATGGCCTTTATAACCAGAAAGATCTAGGTTCAAATTCTGGTTCTGTTGTATGAACTCTCTGAGCCTCATTTCTTCACCTATAAAATGGAAATGGTGATGCCTGTTTCACAGTGCTGTTGTGAATAAATGTGTGAAAAATCCTTACTATTGTACAATGTCTGTCACATGTAGACAGTAAATTATAACTATTTTTTACTACTTTTTAAATGCATTTTTTTAACTTAGTAGTTTCTGTAATTCTCAGTTTCTTCACTTGTAAAACATGGAAAATACTGTCTGTCTCAGTTTTTATTGTGCCTGAAGGAAATGTTTGTCAAGCACTTAACAGAGCACCCACAAATGTACCCCATAAGTGGGGACAGTGATTGTTGTTAATAATAGCCATCATATCATCATCATCATCCATGGCAAAGCTATGGGAGGAAAAGCAGCAATAGTTAACAGTCTCTTGGAACTTTTGACTAATAGGACTAAGTGCTAAGGCAGAAAATAAGGTAGAAAAAAAATTCCATTGAAGTCACTTAGGTTTTGACTCTCATTTCATACCTGTGTTTTTCTTTCATATTTTTTTTCCAAAGGAATAAAGAGGGGGAAAAAACTAGATTGATAAAATTTGCTATATTGAGGTTTCCTGATTACAACCTCAAAAAAGAAGTAACCTGTCTTTAAAAAAATATATGTGGCCTTAAATATGGTTATAAATACTGTTCTTAGCTCCTGACCCCAATTTTTGCAGAGGAATGAATTTTGGGTAAATATTTTCTATTGCTTTCTTGGCTAATGGCTTTCCAAAGTGTTTATACTTGTAGCTTGCCAAGTACTCATAACAATTTTAAGAAAACAAAACCAAATTATGAAGTTTGTTGTAAGAATAGCTTTATGTCTTATGAATTCACACACCACTGGACTGGGTAAAAGTGGATGATATTTTGCATCAAGAGAGGAGTCACCTGATAATTTGCCATTGAAGGACTTTTGCTTCTTCCTGAGAACTAAAATCTTTTCTCCCACAGTTGATTTGTTAACAGATGGAGATAATTTTACTTTTAAGTACTGCTTTGTAAACCAACTTGTCCTTTTTACCTAGTGTTTTACCGGGCACACTGGTCTAAACTTGCATGGCTGAACATTTCTCCTACAACCTGTAAGAGAGTGGATTGGTTTTGTAGGTAACACAGGTGCTTCCTAATAGTCTAGATTTCTGCCAAAGTCTGTACAGACTACTGCGATACAGTCTAACCAGCTAAACTTCTACTACTCTCTACAATTGCTATTCTTTAAAATTGTGACCTGTTAAACAGAATATATTAAATCCAGGCATTTCAAAAGACCTATTTTGAGGCATTAGAGAACACATAATGATAATCCTTAACATCATAGATATATCTGGCTCATAAGGAATATTTGTGCAAAAACAAAGTTTTTCCTAGCCACTTTCAGATATAAACTGTTCCCCAAAGCCTAAATAAGCACTCCACTGTTAGAATGCTCTAGTTTTACCACTCTACCTCACTCCTTGCTTTCTAAATATAAATGTTTCTTGAGAGTGGAGGGATGATCAGTTTTATGAAATGTCATAAACGTTTATGACTATTAGCTGTACAAGCATGAATTTCTATGTGAATTTAAACTGGAAGTATGTTTACTAAAAATAGATTTACGTAATTTTGATATGAACTCCTTTTCCAGACTCTAATGAGGTTAAATATAACTTAAATACAATATGAATAAAAACTGTGACATTAGATCTATATCCTAAGTATAGAAACTCATTGCATTTGGTCACAACCCATATTTACAACAGAAAACGCTGTTATTTCTCATAGCTCACTCATTCGGAAAATGCAAATCAAAAGTTGGACTAATTTAGACCACTTTAAAAGAGATCTTGCTGCTATTATGCAGGAAATATACAGTCTTTAAAGAGCCATTAGATCTCAGGAGTTTGTTCATTTCATGCAGAACAGTAGCACAGGGTTCACATACAAATGGATCAAACACTCAATCCAACCAAGAAAAGTATGAAAGAAAAAAGTCACTTCCTTGTGTGATCTAATTTAACTTTCAATCAGTTAGATTAAATTTCTTTTTTAAAAAATCTGTGAGAGCTGCATAGCACAGGGAGATCAGCTCCGTGCTTTGTGACCACCTAGAGGGGTGGGATAGAGAGGGTGGGAGACGCAAGAGGGAGGAAATATGGGGATATATGTATATGTATAGCTGATAACACACCACTGTAAAGCAATTATACTCCAATAAAGATCTTTAAAATAAAATCTGTGAGATAATTTTTTTTGCTAATTAAGAATTATTAAAATTTTTTTAATTTCATTTACAAAATCTTAAGGTGGCTCAGAATAAAACCCAAAAGATATGCAGTACTTTATTTAAAAATATGTAAAACGTTATTGAAGGGCATTAAAGAAGAGTTAAATATTGACACACAAGAGGACAAGATCTCCAGGTAACAATATGGACTAATCCAAAAGCATGTCCTCAGGGTAAGCATGAAGTTGTGGGTTGGTGAGTACAATATATCACTTCCATAAAACCTAAAAACATAAAACAATGCTATACAACAACTGTGGGACAAACATATGTAGAAAAAGGAGAAAGTAACCCAAAGTGTGTACCTTCCCAGGACAGTGGTTGGGGGTGGGGAATGCGTATGGTGGGAGGCTGGCAGATATGGAGTGTTTGGTTTGTCTCAGAGGATTTGAAACACGGCAGTCTCAGCTTCAGGTCTGACGCTAACAATTCCTCTAGACTCTATGCCAAGTTCGTGGCCTACTGGTGGAGAAGGGCCAGAGGCTCAGGGTACCTGCCTCCCACCCCGACCCCTACCGCCGCCCTCGAGCCAGCTCCTAGCTGAGACCGTCTCCATCCAGTCACTGCCCTGATCAGATGCTCCGCAGGTAAGAGGCAGGCCCAGGAGCCACCTCGCCATGGACCTGGGTTCAGCTGTGTGACTTTGGGCAGGCTGCTGCCCTCCACAGGCTTCATTTTCTCATTTTGTAAAATGGGATGGTATGTGGAATAAATTTGAATTCAGTTTTGTATCCTCTTATTTTTTAAAGTGGAAGTAAACAGTTAAAAGACATTCCGTATTTTATGTGATATTCAATTTCCTAAACCCAAAAAAGGACAGACTGCTTGACCAGGATATACTAAATAGAAAATTTCACTTTTCTCCCAGGAGTTCTTATCAGCTCACTGATATTTAATGCCAGTCATAACTTTTATTTATTTTGGATTTGTTTCAAGGTAGCCAATTAAATTATAAATCAAGTAAATTATCATGAGTAATCCATGATATTCTATCATATTAGTTGAAAATCCCTTAATTCCAAATGTTAGCCTATAATAAACAAAAAAAAAATGAAACCACAAGATGATTAAGCTGACATAGATATTCATTGTGGAAAAATACACACACAAACACACACAGATTCTCTTACTTCACACAGACTCAGGATCTGATTTACCATCTAACATTCTTGCCACATGGCTAGTGTATAAAGACAAGTCTCTGTATATATGAAGTAATTGGCAAGTCAATGAAGCTTCTTGGGTTGTAGCTCATACTAGCATTGCAGCCACATGCCATAATTTTAATTTTGTCCTATAAGTGACTATTTTCTTTTTACTGCCTTTATTCACTTTCCAGTGTCTTCATATTTAATCTATTTAGAATTATTGATATTTATATATGGATCAGTAGCTAGATTCCTAGATAGATGTGTTATAGCTAAAAAAAAAAAAAAAAGAATATTATCCACAGAATGAATGGGAAATTCAAGAATCAAAGTTCTGTTTAAGCTCTTATATGAAAGATAATCATGTACTGAATATTTTCATTTAGGACAAAAATCACTATATTTCAATTATATTATCAGTTGTAAAAATGTTAACTAAGCCAGAGTCCCTATTGAAATGCAAGTTTTTATAGACTCTGAGGGAAGGAGTAGACTTTACAAGATACAATCACCATCTCTACACAGAAAAATCAACTTTTACATGTAAATGTTACTGACTTTATCAAAGGTAAACCATTTCACTAGAAATTATTAACCTTAACAAGAGGCTCCTAAGTGATTCTTTTTATAGAAAAGTCAGATTATGTCACTTCTTTATTCATCAGAGGCCAATGGCCTCTCATTATCATTCACAGTATAACCCTTTTC